ATTACGGCAAGTGTATGTAATTATTTATTCACTGTTTATATATTATTTATTCTTTACTTTTATTTATTTATTCTATAGTATTTTAATTTTTTTAATTAATTACATACAGATGTAAAATTTTAATTTCTGTACTTTTTTGTTATTCTGAAGGGAGTTCGTCCCAGAATACAATTATTTTCTATTCTATTCTATTTATTTATTTATTCATGTAAATATTATTTATTTTACTTTGTAAATTTGGATGCTGGAGGCAGTTTCGCCTCTTACCAGTTTCGTTCTTGCGTTTTTTGTTTTTGATTTTATTATTATTAAACCTGGCTGCGCCATATTTAGGTGGGCGGTATGTTGGATTTACATCCAAAATTTTATTATTTATTGTATTGTAATTTGGCTAATATAAATAACACGGGGGACCCTGGTCCATACCCCCCGTTTCATCTTTCACTACCCCCTCTCTAAGACGGCCTTATCTAGGGCCAAAAGTCAGATGCTAGCGAGCGAAGCGAGCAACAAGAGGACTTACGACCTACTTCCTGACTAGACCTCCAGAGTTACAGTATTCCTTCACAAACATCTGTTTCGTTTTATATTTCACAAGGAAAGGGCTCCCGGGCATATGAAATGCACCGGGCCACCCAATATTGTACACTAATAATAATTATAATGGAAGATACAAGATGCCAGGTGAAGCTGCAGGAGATATTGTCTGAGAAGTTCCAGATAATGCCAGGAATCTTGCAAAGAGACACAAAGGCAACCAAATTCTTTAATATGAGCTTGGAAAAAGCTGTGTGTGCCATCAGAACTAACCCAGGAGGCACAATCTTTAACCTCCTCACACAGCATTTTGCACATGCAGACGAGATTGTAGCTAGATACCTTCCAGCCCTGGTAGGGGCTTTAGAGGAGTTTGAGGTGGCAGCAGCAGCAAGGGGTCTGTGCATAAATGAAAAGAAGACTGCCTAAAAGAAGAGTGGAAGACCTCATCCTTTGCAGAACAATGAGACCATATGAAACAGCTCCAATAATTTCCCAATATGCAAGGAATTTAAGTACCTTGGTTCCTTAATGACAGATAATAACTAATTTAACGTTGAAATCGGTGCCAGTAGAGCTGCGGGAAACTGATGCAAATTTGCCCTTCAGTGGGTACTTAAATTCTGCGGTATGTCAAGGAAGGCACGAGAAGTGGTGTACAAGACAAGCAGTGAAACATGGACAATGAGGGTTGAATGTGAAAGAATGCTGAAAGTCTGGGAAAGGAAAATACTGTGCAAGATAAATTATGTGAGAGAGTAGTCTGAAGAATCAGGCACCACAGTGAGCTAAACACAGTGAGTGGCTGACATTGTCAACTTTATCAAGGCTTCTCATATAAAATGGCGTGGCCGTATATAGAGGATGCCAGAGGAAAGGGTACCAAGGAAAGTACTGAATGGACAACCTGGAAGAGGAAGAAGGAAAAGCACTCTGGTGGATAAATGACGTAGAGGTGGATCTGAGGCATCTTGGTGTCAGGTGGTGAAGAGCTGCCGCAGCAGATCGGGCAGAGTGGCAAAGAACCATGGAGGAGGCCCAGGTCCCATATAGATTGTATCGATGAGGAATAAGAAGTTAATGTCATATATCTAATGCTTATAAATAATATCATTTCTTTAATTACCTATTTATATCTTTTTGTTTATATTCTTAAATCATATATAATAGTAATAGGATGCTATGTGTGCATTATAATCTTTTCATTTTGTGGTAAATTTCTGAGATTATATTAGTCTCATTCAAATATGTATTATATAATAGTTCTAATATAGTGAAATATATTAATGCTGTATGTTTACTATGTGATATAATTGATATGAAAAGGGGGGACAATGTACGAGTAAATGTTATATCCACTAAGGCATTGATAAGTATGCTGTGTATTAAGCAATCCTATGTATTAGGGCATAGTTTATATTAAGTATTTCTCTCAATCTCTCTCGATGGAAATGTGAAAGCTTCAAAGTGCGTTCAGCAAAATTTTTCAAATTTCAAATTGCAACTTAAATATTATTTTAAAAAAATACGACAATGAAAACAAAATATTTTTCTCTAATCACTAAATATAGAATAACATGGAGTTAGGTGATATACAATGAAAAAATGCAAACATTATTCAAGATTCTCAAGGATGTCAATTGTAAAATTAGTCAATATACAGATTAAATTAAAAACAAAATTAGAACCATAGAATGTTTCCAACATTCTGTTCTATTTAAATTTTAATAAGTATAATTAAATAAGGAAAACAGAGTAACTCAATGGGTAGAGCACTGAATTCCGAAGCTCGAGTTGCCAGGTTCGATTCCGGCTGATGGTAAATAATTATTTATTTTGTTTCTTCAGCCGTGGTTAGATCTGGGGTCAGGAAACCCTCCTGGGGCACGCCCAGCCTCAATAAACTGGGTCCTCTTAATTAAATAATTAGTTAAGAGAAAAACCTGGCGGTTGAGTGTGATCTCAGTCAAATCACTTCCTTGCACAACCGTTGACCAAGTACATTACTTTGTTACTGAATCCAAGACCCTTCATGGGTTGTAGTGGCACGGTTTTTTTTTTTTTTCTTAAGTTCTAAGGAAGATTATATTGTAAAGAGGTATAAGAAAATCTGACTGCCCTTCTATGCCAAAATTCCTTTTATTTATTTATACATTAACGCTAGTGTTGAATAGGCTCTCCCTAAGAAAAGGGTTCACTTTAAAATTAAGGAATTAATTTATATTAAATCTTGAAGGAAGCTAGTCGACTGTTCTACATATCATGGAATAAATATTCAGGACGCAGTCATTATAAAAATTTTTTTATTAGTGTCAATGTTTCAATCCAAACATGTGGGTCATCTCGATACTTATTCAATGCTTGAAAACATTCAGTGCTCGAACCACGCCCTGATGATGACCCACATGTTTGGGTTGAAACATCGGCACTAATAAAAAAAAAAAAAATTATAATGACTGGATCCTGAATATTTACCACCCATTATATTAAATCTTAAGGATAAGTGAGAAGATATAAAGGTAACAGTCAGAAGATGGTATTAAAAATCCTGAAACGTGTTACATATAAAGCAATAAAAGGAATTTTGGGAGAGAAAGGCTGTCAGATTTGCATATACCTCAGGGTTTTTTTTTTAATTAATGCCTATGCCGTTGGCTATTAGGCCATTTAGTTCCTGGCAGCCCAATACAATTTTGCCATAATGAAATTCTCCAATTTGATGCTTCCATTTTTAGTAGCTGATCTCCTCCAATTGGGAAAATGTTGACTGATATCATCTGACAGCAGAACACACTGGGAGGTGCAGGTCATACATCTCATCCTCTGGACACAGAGGGCATACAGGCCTTTCCATGACTCTGATCCTGTCCAAATGCCTTTGCAGGTAATCATGTCCTGTCAATATGCAGAAACATGCCACTGATACTTTCCTATTCTGTGCTTGTTTCATCAGCTCCTCTGTTAAACATTCCCATTTTTTCCCATCTGCTTGTTGTTTTTGTCAATTCATAACCTTTTCCATGTAAAATGATTTTAAAATACTTCTAGCAGATTTTTAGGAAAGTGGAAGATAGGTTTATGACACTTCTGAGGCAATCCATGCGAGATTGTTTATTTACTTTTCTAATATCTATTTTTTTAAATATTAAATATGTATCAAAAAATCTGTATCACTACAAGCCATGAAGGGTTTTGGGATCAGTACCACTTAGGGAAAGTACTGTTTCTTGGTCATCGATTGTGCAAGGAGGTGATTTGACAAAGATCATGCTCAACCACAGGGTTTTCTCCCTTAATTAATAATTTAATTAAGGTTACCTACTTTATAGAAGCTTGGTGTGCCCCAAAAGGGTCTCCCGACGGCTAATGAAACAGAATAAATAATTTTTCTGCCATGAGCCGAGATTCGAAACTGGGACCTTGAGCCTTGGAAGTTCAGCGCCCTACCAGTAATCTATCCCAATCCCTAAATTATACGAATTTTTGAGGGGGGCACATTCCGGCAGGGTTATGAATTTTCGGAACAAAAAGTTTCATACTAAAGGAGAAGGAAAAAACATGGAGCAAACCGCAGCAAGTTTAATTGAAAATTTTCTAATTCTACCTTTGCTTGCTCTGTTTTTAATAAAAGGTGAGTAATAAAATATCTTGAGAGTGGAAGGGGGGAGATAGGTTCTTCTGACCTAGGAGGGATAGGCCATCAAAAGTAATAAATGCACATTTATTATCATACATAGCTTGGCATGTAGACCTGTAATTTACATACAAAATTTATATGATTTCAACTTTTCTGAAGGTACTTAGACCCATTAGCATTTCCATGCTTTAATTATTAAATAATTCCCTTTACAAGTACTTCATTCTATCGCATCATGTGTTTGTAATATTCTTCTAAATGAATATGTTTTAAATTTAGATAGTTTTATTAAATTGTTAATTGCATCAAATATGTAAATTAATATAGTTACATTAAGACAATCCGTGTATTTTTGAAAACTTTGCTTGCTGTACGGTTTTTGTTTTTATCTTTAACTTATGCCGTAAACTGTTATTTTATGGGGAATTTAATCTGTTCTGTTTAATTCCTCCCTAAAGGGGGAGCCTTTTGTCAAACCTATTGATGCCAATAAAGCTTATTACTAATATTATTATATTATAGTTACATATCTATAAAATCATATAGAATTGTTTAATTTAATGGTAAGAAATAAATTAACAACAAAATAAATTATATCAATGGAGAAATATTTTACTTATCAGATTTGTTCCCACATCAATACTACTACCAATATGAGTGAGTAATCCAGTTAACTTAAAATGAATTAAGGTAGTTTCATAATAAATAATTTATATAATAACTTTCTAATAGCTATTTTATCAATAATTTATTCATTAATACATAAATAAGCTAAACAGCAATATACAAATAAGCATATACCCTAAACAAGAATAACTTATAAACACTAAATATTAACCTGTGTAAACTGCAATATTTGTGTTTTGGTTGAAGATGAATAAACACCATTTCCTCTTTTAACAGTATAAACTAAATTACTTGCATCAAAGTCACTATCTTCATCTTCAAATTTTATATATTTAGATGTAAGAATTCTTTGTCCACCTTTCACTATTCTGAAAACATTAGTAACCACCCTTCTAGGGGGATTGTCATTCACAAGACTAATATCGATATCCAAGTAACCAGCAGTCTAAAACATAAAGAATAAAAAAGAAATATTTACAAGTAAATAAAATTAATTTTAATCAAATAAACAATATTTTGAATGAAAAAAATAAATACCAAACAAAGATGCAACAATGAATCATTACTGGATTTGTACCTCCTAAATTGGTCTCTGTCTCATGTTATGAATGTAAAACAGCAGTTATTGAGAAACTGCCTTGAACCTATTGTCACTTTGTCATAAATAATTGACACAACTACTCACTTAGAGACTGTGCCTCCTCTAGCAGCCTCCACCAGTAGAACCCTCAATGATTCCATTTCTGTCTATCAAAAGCGATGGATTTTGATGAATGAGGTGTCAAAACAAAGGAAATTTCATGAATAGTAAGCAAATCATAGTTTTTTATTCTCAAATTCTTATCAGGACTTAAATAAAAGTCATAGGAAAAAGTGAGAGAATTCAAACAATGCAACAAAGACAAGTTGGCAGATCAAAATGAGACAAATTGAGTTTTAAAGATTTGATCACAGGCATCAAGACCTGGGAGTATACCATTTTAACCCCTAAAATAACCCATCTTGGAAATAATGCATGAAAAAGTGTCTCTCACTGTAGATAACCTGTGGGCATAGGCGCAGACTTTCGATTTTGATTGGGGGAGTAAAATTTGTTGGATTCTTTAATTTATTTAATATCGTTTGGATTTAGGTTTCTTTGAATTTCGCTGTAAAATATTGTTGATGGAATAATAAATAATATCTTGTTACTTCAATCTTAAAAAATAATTTACTATTGCATTGTTTAAGTTTTAAAACAATATTTCTTATAATTTTGCCAGACTTGAAAGAAACATAGGAAATAAAACGTATCAACATGACTGTTATCATCAAAATAATGCTCTGATATGATAACATAACTAACAACCGCCGAAACGCCAACAGCTCCACTAGTAGCAACAGCGGTCATATAGGAGCAGCTTAGATATGACGTCATACCAAGACTGCCGAGCAGCGCCAGCAAAATAGGTTCCTTTAGGCGTATTGGAGGTCTTAGGTAATCCTTAGCAAGGCAGACTGGGTGGAATAATGGGAACAGAAACCAGATTGTAAAGGATTGAGGAGACAGTTTTGCTCGAGAAAGCTGTTCAACTGAAAGTGGACTAATCTTTCTAGAGGCTTGCATAGATTAGATAAAATGGAGATGGGTCTGAAGTCGTAAGGAGATGAAGGAGTAGGAACTTTGTTCAGTGGACGGACTATGGCTCTTTTCCAGGATTTGGGAAAACAGAATTTTGGAGAGAGAAATTATATATGTGTAGAAGTGCGGGAAGTAAGGTTGGAAGGCAGAGTTTGATCAATTTAACAGGTATTTGGTCAGGACCATAATCATTATGAGGGATTTTCAATTTGACGTGTAAGTCAGGGTGGGGGTGGAGAGAAGGGATGTACAGTAGCGTCATCTCCAACGGTTATCTGACGAAGTTTGAACTAAAGTACCGGATGTCAAAATTTATAGTATGTCAAAATAAATAGTATCATTTATTTTTGCCTTCTTATTTGACTGATCACCCCAACTATTCTTCTCTTCATTGTTCACGACAGTCAACCATTTACCAATTATGAATTTATTAAATCATTTTTACCCACTTCCAATAAAGGTGTATATTACAATATATATACAAGAGGGGTACCTTCTGTCCGTCTGATGGAAGACCAACCACCATTTTAAAAATTATTCAATTGTTCGTTTAATTGTACTACTCATTGCTCAAATTATATAACTATAATTTACATGTATTCTGTAGTTCAGATTGTATTATTTTTATCAGCATAAAATAAATGAAACAAAACCACGGTTCAGACAAATTTTTAATTTCTTTAAAACACTCTATATTATACATTATGTCTTATTGCCAATTTATACTATTATATAATTATAATTATTCTAATTGCCAATTTGTAACCATAATAAGGGAGAAATAATTCTGGGAATAAGAAGTGATGTTTCTTTGTTACGGTCCGTTTCACTCATATATTTGCCGTTCCGCTCATACGTTCTGCTTTGTAGATGTAAAATAAAACATGACACGATCACTAAAAACTTTTTTATATAATATAATAATAATAAAAGGCTAAGCAAATCCGAAGATTCGATGCTGACACCACCAATCGCTTATTACACACCTCTCTCCACTGTTCGCCATCCAAAGCAAGTCCTTTGAAATTGGCTTCGACACAATCTTCCCATCTTCGCTTCAGTCTTCCCCTTGGACGTTTACCATTCAGTACAGCAAATATTACCATTTTAGGAATTCTTTCGTAACCAATCCTAATAATTTTACAAGCTCATTTGATTCGACACGATGTAATCACTTCAATTATATTAACCGGATAAAGTTCACACAATTCGGCGTTGTGTAACCATCTGAACTTTCTGGTTAACTCATCCTTCTTCGGTCCGAATATTCTACGCAATACTTTATTTTCATAAACCTTAAGACGTAGTTCATTCAATGTAAGCTGCCATGTTTCACATTCATAAAGAATTGTAGGTAAGATAATGGTTTTATAGATTCTAGTCTTTAAATTGCGGGACAAGATGCGCAAGCTAAACAGTTTTGTCGCAGAAAAATAACAAGCATTTCCCTTCAGCCTAACCTTAATATCCTCTTCAATTTCGTTTTTTCTAGTTATTGTAGACCAAAGATACCTAAATTTCTCTACCTGTTCAAACAAATTACCTTCTATATCAATATCACCAGCAAAATCGCCATTTTTGCAGCTAACCATATATTTTGTCTTAACCCTGTTTATTTCGAGCCCTAGTTCTTTACCAGCTTTCATTAACGTTGTTTTATTTAGTTTCATCGTTTTCACGTCTTTGCTTAACAGGATCAGATCATCCGCATAGCCAAGCACGGGTGTTGTCCCACCCAGATCCAACCCTTTTTCGGTACGCATTACCTACCTAATGGCATGTTCCCATGCCAAATTGAACAGGACAGGTGAAAGGGAATCACCCTGTTTTAAACCCGAACGAACCTCAAACTTTTCGGATAAATTATTACCAATTCTAACTTTATTGAGGGCTACGCTAAGTACATCCTGACTAGATTCACTAATTGTTTGGGGATCCCCTGCTCAATTAGAATATTATATAGTTTCTGGAGTTCAATAGGATCCTAAGCCTTTTTGAAATCAATATACAGCTGGTGAAAAACACAGTTGTACTCTAATTTTGTCTCCATTATTTGCGGTAAGGAAAATATTTGATCAATAGTCAAACAATTCCGTCTGAATCCGCATTAATTTCCTTAGTCGCCAATAATTTCCTCACTATATTCCGCGATTCGACTGGCTAAGATTAAAGTGAATATTTTATAAGATTTTATATAATATATATTCAATCTAATTCTAAATGAAATTTTAATGCTATCCAAAATAGTTTACTTTAATCGATTTCATCTTCTTACTAAAAATTATATAAAATCAATAATAGTATATATCTGAATTGCAGTTGAATATTTATCATTATAACATACATATAATGAAATCATATTAAAGTATTAAGAATAAGTGATCATTTACAATGCTCCATAACAACAATTTTCTTGTAATCATAAGTTCTTTAATCCTAATAATGCCTTGATAATGTATAAATTTCTTGTATTAAAAATGAAATTGATTAAGTGAATATAAGATTACTGAAGGAATATACATACCAAAAAATCATCTTCTACATTTGATACTGCAAAAAAATGGATAATATCATGTGATGATTCAGATCCATCATGAGCATAAAACAGTCTACCTGCAGCAATTTGAGATGGTGTGAATCGAGAAACATTATTTTCAGTTATATTCTGTATAGAATCAAATAAAATTAACGACCCATGCTGAGGGCCAGAACAGACTTCATATACCAGGGACTTCACAAAGCTTACATTAATATTCAATTCAGAAAGAAGAATAGGTGCTCTACCGCCTTCCATCACCTAGAAAAGTTGTGAAATTTAATGAAAAAAATAAATAAAAAATAGTTGATAATACCAATATTTGAATAATAATCCTACCTTTAAGGGATTTATAACCAATTTTACTGAATGAGGCAGATCTTTTTTCGGTGTATATAAAATATCAATACTACTTGATAATACAACTGAACAGTGTTCAGCAAATACATCATACATGATAGAATCATTTAAGGAAACGTAAGCAGTTCGCAACATTTTATACTTAATGCGGTTTTGATCAATATCTTCTTGAGTGAAATTATCTCCTAGAACTAATCTATCTTCACTAGATTTAGAAAAGTATAAGTTTCCAAATACAGGCAGTTTTTTAATAGTGTATTTTATTTTCTCAGACATAGTGAATATAGGAAATGTTGTATATGATAAACTTGCTTTATTGAGATAAATTTCAGATTCTCCATTCAAATAAAAAGGAAAATAATTTTCTTCAGTTATGTTTAACTCAATGAAAGTTAAATGGAATTCATAAACACTTGTAAATTCAATTTCTTCCGATGAAAGAACAAACTAGAAAAAAAAAAAAAATTAAAAATATCGAAAATTTCTTCATGGAAACAAAACAAGCTAAATGGATTGTTTACTGAATAAAATGTACAGAAATTGCTAGAAGGGTCAGTCTCCTCTCATACATTTTTATAAATAATTAAGAGATGGATATATTGCTGACTGTTATTTTATTGGTTTGGCAAACAAGTTCTTTCGGTTTTTCAGGGTTAAATAAAACTCAATGTATTTTAGACATAAATTTTATTTTAATCTATAATATATTGACCATTATTTAATATGACTTTTTCCCCATCTTTCCACTAACTGAATAATTCCATGTACATAGAATGTCTGGATTTTATTGTTAAAAAACTGATCCAAGTGGTTTTTGATGTCCTCTTCCTTTTGAAAATTCTTTCCATTCATGGAGTTCTGCAGAGACCAGAATAAATGGTAGTCACTTGGAGCTAGGTCTGGTGAATAGGGAGGGTGGGGCAAAAGGCCCCATCCAAGGTGCAGTACTTTTTTTCAAGTGACCAATGAGGTGTGGGGCTTAGCGTTGTCTTGGTGGAATACAACATCCTTCTGATTTCGCCAGTTCTGGGAGTTTATTTTTAATTCATTGATCCAATTTTGTTAATTGTGAGCAGTATAAAGTTGAATCAATTGTTCGTCCTGATGGCAATAGCTCATAGAAAATAACACCCTTTAAATCCCACCATATGAAAAGCATTAGTTTCTTTGAATATATATGTATCATAGCGACATAAAAATAAACAGAAAAGCCAAAGGACTTATTTGTCAACCCAATAAAATTATGAGGATGACAAATAGTTAGGATTTCCTGTCTATATATGCATATAGACTATCTATATGTTCATTAGGCTAGCCAACATTTCAACCCAAGCACGTGGGTCATCCCCGGAGGGGGAGGCTAAAAATTACAACAGAAATATAAGATTAAAACATAAGTAAATAAATAAGCCAAGATAAAAAAGACATATAAGATAATGGTAATAAAAATATAATAGTAAACTATAAAAAAAACCATTGGAATATAATAGACAACGTTATATGGTGAGATTTAGTAACTAAAAATAACATGAACAAGTATATAGATGGAATCAAAAGTATAAAAATAACAAATATAAACAGTAGCTTAACATTTACCAATGATTATTGTCTAGTCTAGAAACAAGAACTGAGAGGATGGTGTGATATGAATTGAAATGGAAAAGAGGAAGGGAGGGGAAGGAGTTGTGGTATTCATCATCTAATGACTATTTAACAGAAAATAATAAAGTAAAGGTTTCTAACCAAAATATAAATGTTAACATAAAGTAATAAGTAAAATAAGAATTTAAAAATACTTAAGTAGTCTGTCTGAGAATAAATAATAGGGAAAAATTATAGAGACAAACACATCTATGCTGGATAAAAATAATGTGGTAAAACTAGGAACTAGAAATATAAATCAATAACTAAGAATGAAATCAAGAAATAGATGATAATAATAATAGGAAACTAATAACACAACCTTGACAAAAAAAAGTATGATGAAATGAATGAATCAGTAAATAAAGTGAGCACAAGTACTACTCTTAAATAAATAATAATTTTAGATTATGTTTAACTAATATACCACAGGTGATTTTTATAAATCAATCTATAGATCTAAAATAAAATAATTACATACAAGAGGCTTAAAATTAAAAATTATACTTTTAGAAGGTGCAAGATGGAGTAGGTTGATGAAATTATCTCTTTTAGGTTGATGAAATTATCTCTTTATCTACTTTATGGTTTATGGAATTGTTTTTTTCCAGGTAGAGTATATATGAGACATTTATCATGGGTTAGGTTCCGGATTCTTTTTAATTTGCTCATATTTTTTTTCAAATAAAAAAACAATTAATAAAACTAAGCATAAAAACAAATATTTGATGAAATGCCAAGCAACATTCAATATTAAGCAAAAAGGAACACAAATCAAATCCTAATAACACCAATAATATGTACACAGGACAAAAAATATAGTTATAATTTCAATTTTAATAATGTTGAAATTTTAACATAACCAAATATGTTGAAAATGTAGTTAATTTCAAAACACAAATTAAATGAAAATGTTAGAATTAAGATAACATGATTAATATAATTGAATTATTTTTAATAATTAAAAAATATAAAATGTAAATGAATAAATAAAAATGAAAGAATTGGTTTATTTCTAGTGAACAGTTACTCTCCTTTACCATTCCAATTTTATTCTTTGCTCCTTTTATGTAGAAAGTTTATTTACGAACATACCCATAGACAAGGCACTTACTATAATAGACAAAAATTGGACTATCATTGAACCTCACACCTCACTTAACCGTTCCTCATATCTCGAATCCCTTCATCTTTGTTGTAAATCAGGCTACCTCACTTTTCAAGGAAAATTTTTTAACCAAATCTCCGGGCTAGTAATGGGTAACCCCCTTGCTCCCGACATCTTCAACATAGTTTTCAATAATATTCTAGACTTCATTATCCCTCTTTACCCAGACGATATCATCTTTATTCGAAAATACGTAGACGACCTCCTCCTAATCATCAATCCAAATAAAATTCCCGATATCCTATCAAATTTTAACTCTTACCACCCCCGCCTCAATTTTATAGTACAACGCGAACTCAATAATTCTCTCCCTTTTCTCAACCTTCTAATCATTAAAAATCCCAACAACAACATATTCACAGACTGGTACACTAAACCAACTTACACTGCCAGACTTCTAAACTACCATTCTAAACATCCCTACCACCAGAAAATTAACGTTGCTAAAAATCTCATCCACCATCACCATAGTCTCTCTCTCTCTGATCCCCAATTTCATGCTACCAATATCAAACGCATAAAACAGATCCTCTCAAACAATAATTTTCCTCTCCGTGTCATTAACAAACTTATAACAGACCACAATAATCGCTCTTCCTCAATCTCGACTTCCACTAATGCTCCACAACCCATTTCGGGCTCTATATCCAGATCTCTACCTTATATTCCTAACCTTACAGACAACATAAACAAAGTTTTACGATCGACTAACCCTAGCTTACGACTTGCATTCAAATCTCACAACACACTCTAAATTATACACATCCTTAAAAGATCCTGTTCCTCCCTCACACCGCTCTCATATCGTTTACCGTATTCGATGTTCTGCCCCCAATTGTTTTTCATCCTATATTGGTGAAACCAAAAATCTCCTAAAAGACCACATCACCCAACATAAATATTCTGTATCCTCTCGTAATTTTACTGCCTCCAAATTATCCGAACATTCCCTCTCCCTCAATCATACATTTGATTTCGACAAAACATCAATCCTTGCCACAGTTCTCAACCATGATAAACGACTCATTTCTGAAACCCTCCACATCCAGCTTCTGCCAAAGACAGTGAATTTAAAAACTGACAAACAAAACTTATCTTTAGCCTACTCCCAAATTCTGAATTTATTAAAACATCCATAGTTATATTCCTTTCCTTTTCGCTGACAATTTCCTTATCTATCTATCTATATATATATTTCTATATATATATATATATATATATATATATATATATATATATATATATATATATATATATATATATATATATATATATATTTATTTATTTATTTAGAATATGTATATATAAATGTGTGTATGCTTGTGTATGTGTATGTGTGTGTGTGTGTGTGTGTGTGTGTGTGTGTGTGTGTGTGTGTGTGTGTGTGTGTGTGTGTGTGTGTGTGTGTGTGTGTGTGTGTGTGTGTGTGTGTGTATGTATGTAAATATATATATATTTATATGATATGTATTAATTTCAATTATCCTCCACTATTACTCAACAGTTATTATCTGTATTTTATTGCCTACATTTTATTCTAAGATTCCCATTTTAATACTTATGTCACCTTTTTTTTTTTCAGAAGATGGAAGAGAATGACAAATTGGAGGCTGTACAATTAGATGTATGGAAAAGGATTCATGGTGGAGTTGTATTGGGAGCCGAATGGCCTAAAAGCTAATGGCAGAGGCGTTTAATAAAAAAAATAATAATAAAAAAAACTTTACATTTTACGTTTTACATTTTATTCTAAGATTCCCATTTTAAAACTTATGTCACTTTTTTCCATTATGTTTACTTCATCATTCCACACTTTGTATCACTTATTATCATTTATCTCTTTGTTCTTACTATTGTCATTATTCTAACAACTGAATTTTACTTTAATTTTTTTACCTACACTACTTATGTTTCTCATACCTAACCTGTTTCTTTTCTTAGCTCTGATGATGGCCTGAACTTCAGGTCGAAACGTCGGCTAATGTCAAAATAAATAGTATCGTTTATTTTTGCCTTCTTATTTGACTGATCACACCAACTATTCTTCTCTCCATTATTCACGACAGTCAACCATTTACCAATTATTAAA